CATCACCGTACCCCTACCTTAAAGGTTCTACACCATCTGCGTCACACTTGTGCGTGCGGGTAATGTATCCACCATGTCCGTAGACCCACGAACAGTGGTTTACGCTACTCTGTTGCTGCTCAACTATCAAATATCTGAGCCTTCTGAACAGGAACCCACGCCTCAGATGAAATGAGGTTGGTGAGGGGTATTTGTCTGGTGAGCCGTTGGTGAAAAGTGGGGCAGCCAGACAAAAACAAACGTTACCGGCTACAGATTCCAAACAATCTGACCCTCTTTCTTGTCTGAGCATTTCGTCTGAACCCCCCAAAAAAATCCGAACGGGTCTATGAAGGGACAAGTACATTTGATTGTTGGTGGTACAGTACCGTAGTCCAGGTGGACCTGACTGTTGATATGATTTGCTTTTGTTTTCTTGTTGCCGAAGCGCCTTTACCGACTGGTTACACGAAAATTGTTGTTTGGGCAACCAATAACGAATCACTCAATGCTCTCGTCTTCTAGTGCGTAGCGCTAAACCGGGTACCGTTTGTGGCGGGCCGCTGGCCTTCACTGCCGTTCATAGCGCCAACCGCGATGCTCTCGGTCATTCCAAACGCAGACGAATAGCCAGTACCCTCTGCTACATATATGTATTATGTTGCTGTCTCAAGAACGTTGGTTCTGCATCAAGTTGTGTTCCTTGCGCCACCCGGTTTTCTTTCCCAGAGATCTCATTCCTAGATCTGGCCTTCCGTCTTTTGCTCTGCCGGCCTCGATTGAGGCTATGGAGATCTGTTGCGATCGATGCGGACCTCAATTGGGTGCTCGATATGTTTTTGGCCGGACGTTCGCCCTACCGTACATGCCAATATTTTCAAGGTAAACCTCCGCCCGTTTCTTGTCGTTTGTATGGTCCGTTTCCGGAAAAATTCACAATATATATGTTTGGGTGCGGTAGCTCGTCAGAGGCCGAAAGAGAAAGAAGGTTGACTCAAGACCTTGTTGCTTAGAGAGTAAGAGACATGCGGTAGGCCACACCATCGCCATGCAGCATGTCTGTCAATACATTCCATCCGCGTACCCCCCGGAGGCCCCGTAGACAGTATACTCTGCCGAGCACCCCAAACAGCCCCCCTGCTCGGTACGAGATACTATCTACGAAATCCCCGACACGACTATCATTGCCAGACAAAACGGCAGACAGAAAAACCATAACCCCTATGCTAATAAATCATCCACCATTCCTCCAATCCAAACGACTCTGCCAATAGAACATGTCCCACGAAATCGCCGGATCTTCCAACAGAACACGTCCTGCAAAGCTTTCAAACCTTTTGATGTCAAACTTCTACCCCTAAAAGGTCTGTCAAGAAAAATAAATCACCCTCTCGAGAAAAGTGCTCTACCCAATTCTCAAGCAGTCAAAACACGAACAATCACCCTTGGAAAATACCCGGCAAAAAGATCAACGTTCCATCAGAATCACGTCAGAACGGGGAGGACGGGTAACTCCGGGAAAACGTGTCTTACGTCCTGACTACTCAGAACAAATTCATTCCTCAGATAAATATTCATGTTTCAACTCAATGGCCAGTTCAAACTACAAGAACATGCCAAACCCTCTCTCCGACATCCAATACCTTGACAAAGAAACCACTCCACCAGCCCCCCTGCTGTAACATCCATTCCATCCTGAACATGAAGTCAAAATCAAATCAATCAATCAATCCAACAGCCCCCCTGCTGCATCATTCATCCCGAAAAAAATCAAAACCAAGACAAACCACCTGCGACTAGGATCATGGAACAATACTTCCCCCCCCATGATTCTCACGCAGAACTATCCCATCCATCGCGAAAGCAGAAATCAACATCGAGCAGCAGATCAAAGGCCAGTACCAGGTCACAAATAAAACACATGGTGCAAGAAAGGCCCCATCGCTGAAATAGTGCAACACCAAGAACAAAATCAACGAATATTCATCACGAAGTCACGATGCGCGCAAAAAGTCTCCTTGGGGAGCGGTTTGGTCAAGAAATCCGCGCGTTGCAGGTCCGACCGTACGTGGACTACCTTGAACTCCCCCCGTGCTACACGCTCACGGATGAAATGGTGGCGGATGTCGATGTGCTTCGAGTTGGGAGTAGTAGCCGGGTTACTTGCCAAGTGAATAGCGCCTACGTTGTCCTCCCACACCGGCGTGCACCCCACATCACGGCCCGGAAAGATAAACTTCCACAGATACCGCAGAAAAATAGCCTCCTTCATCCCATCAGACATCGCCACGTACTCCGCTTCCGTCGAAGACAGGGTGACGCTCTTCTGCGTCCTACACAGATACATCACACACGCACCAGCGAACATCACTAGTGCCCCAGAAACAGACCGCCGGTCGGTTGCCTTGTTGGCGAAGTCCGAATCGACAAAAAGTTCCATGTGGTCTCCTCCCACCGTGCCCCTCTGAAAAGTAATCCCGTACCCGCTCGTGAATCTAACATACATCAAAACATGCAAAGCCGCCTCCCAGTGCAGTCGCTTCGGCGCGTGCGAATACCTCGCAACGGCACGCACCGCGTTGAGAATATCCGGGCGAGTCTGATTCGCCAGCCACATCAAGTGTCCCACTAGCGACCGGAAAGGCTCGTCGACATCGGGCTCGTCGGCGTCGTACTGCTCAAGCTTCAACCCAACGACCATAGGTGTCTCTTTGTCCGTCGTCACACCGAACTTGGCAACGATCTTCTCCGCTACAGCCTGTTGCGAAATAGTCACCGTCCCCAACACCGTGTCACGAGAAAACCGGCAACCCGCATACCAGCGCAGTTCCCCAAGGTTGGAAATGGGCACATACCGGTTGAGGTCAACACCAAACTGATCGCACCTGCTCTTGAGCCCGATAGAGAAGATGTCGTCTACGTGGATCACAACCACCATGGTGACTACACCGCTCTCGATCAGACGCATCACACACGCATCGGCGGCACAAGGCTCGAAACCAAGACTCTTCATGCCACGCATCAAGTGATGATGCCATGTGCGGGACGCCTGCTTCAGACCGTATAGGCTCCGTCTCAACCGCACGACCTTACCGGAAAGCGCACCGCACCCAGGGGGAAGACGAATGAACACAACCTCATCCAGTTCTGATTGGACAAAGGCTTGCTCGGCATCGAAATGGCACAAGTCCCAATCTAACACACAGGCGATGGCGGCTAGCAATCGAATGCTCGTGATGGAAGGATACGGGGAGAAAGTCTCAAAGAAGTCAACACCCTCACGCTGCGCAAACCCACGGGCTACCAACCTAGCCTTAGCACGCACAGCATACCCAAACTCGTCTCCCTTCCATGAATACACCCACTTGGCGGAGATGACGTTCGTCCCTCGTTGCTATTCCGCCCCGACCTCCTCGAAGGTGCCCACTGCATTCAGCCCGAAAAACTCCTTGCGTTCGGCGTTGGTCCAGATGTGGTGGTGGGGCCCCGCGTGCGCCTCCCCGTATGTCTCAGGCGTCTCCAGGTCGCACACCAGCCCCGTCGGCAGGGCTGGCTCAGCGACACCCGGTGCAGGAAGCTCGGCGATAGACCGGTTGATCTCGTCCTCCGTGGCTAGAAGAGCAAATGTCCCCAGCCCCGGCCCATCTCGCTTCGCCCGCGACCTCGGAACTGCAGGGGTCGCTACAAACTCCCGCTGCCCCTGCCGACGACGTCCGCCTGTACCGCCCTCATGCACCATCTCCGTCCACAGTCCGTCCGATGCCATCGCCGCCGAGTGCGCGGGGGCAGGTGTGGCAACAGGTGCCGCAGATGTGCTCCGCTCGCCATCCTGCTCTCCGGCTCCGTCATATACTCATGCTGCCGCTGCTCCGTCGCCACCGGAGCTGCCGCCGATGCTGCCGCTCC